ACTCGAGGGGGGGAGGGGGGCTCCCCCAAACACCCAACTCGCCTTTCAGTCTATTCACGAGTATTTTCCTTTGATCAGGGCGGGGGGCATTCAGCTGGGGAAAAGGAGCCCACAGCCGGTGAGCCCAGCTGAAACTGCTTGTGGCCGGGGGGACTGGGGATTGGAAGAGACCCCGAGTCCTCACTGGGGTTCTCCCTGCCGTCCTTTCAGGATGCCCTCCTCAGACGCATCGCATATGCAGGATCTGGGAAGAGTCACCCCCTCCCCCTCTACCCCGTCGTCGAAGGTGACCTTTGCAGGGAACTTTCCCCTGCTTTTTAAAAGGTGTCCCCAGCTCTAGTATGTGCCCCGTGTGCTGCCATACTTGTCTTTCTTGTATATTAGGGACTTGCACACTGCAGAAACTTTTTTTCAGGAACCAGGAATTTTCGTTGCGTTCACACCGCAGGAACTCGGCCCAATTGTAGTTCCTCGGAGGCAGTTCTGGAAGCCGTCTTTAGTACCTACTCCAGACTGACTTTGTTCAAACACAACCTACTGGAGATGTGGTTACAGTGATGGATTCCTGATTGATTGACCACAAGTACTGCCGCTAACAAGGAAGTGAGGCAGAAGGGCATGAAAAAGATATAATTAGCAGAGCAAAAATTAATCCGATGGACTTAGATTTGTACTTAAGTTACATTTCATGAATACTTTTTTTTGCTTGCGACTACATATTTCTGCATTGGAATATTTGACTGATAACCAATATACTTTTGTCTGATATCGCCGGTGCTGGCAGTGAAACCTGCAGATTGTATTAGCAGGATAACATTACATTGTTACGGATCACATGAATAAAACATAAATAAAAGACCTTGTCTGGTTTTCATTATGATTAATCCTCCCAATAACTAACAATATGATTATCCTCCATTGTTACAGGGTGGCGGTATAGTTTCGTATTAAATTATGTGCGAAGTTTGACCTACAAGTTTGAAGTTTGACTCCCAAGTTCAGCATAAAGCTCCTGGTTCCTGTTGTGTGGTGTGAAAGCGACACGTAAAAGTGGGCTGGAGCTCCTCAGTTTAGACACTCAGGGAACCGTAAACTGGGACCAGGTTCCAGAACTTTGGTATGAAAGTGTCTCCTGCATCAGTTTTCAAAGTGGGAAATCAACAAGAGTCGATAATACCCTATAATAACGGTCAAGAGAAAAATGTGTACGGTAAAACACTACAGACATAAAAGCAAAACATCACAGCAACTTATTACAGCTGGTAACATGCCAACAGATTAAGAAAAGGGCGACACAGACCAGTACGGCGCTTCACTGGATTCAGTTAGTGTGTGGAATGTCCTGTAGTGTCACTGGTGACCTGATCAGGGGATGCATAGCACACTCTAACACTTCTCTCTGCACTTTTAATTGCACACGTCACAGAGTGAAGGAAGAGTATTTGTCTTTTTGTGTACAAAGCGCAACGACAAAGCCCGAGTGTTCGGAGATAAACTGAATTTTCCACCTGAGGCAGCAGGCTGTCGGCCTCTTTTGAATGCATAATCAGACTGACAGAGCTGGCTCACTCTCATTCAGACTCATTAACACCTTACAGGCTTTTCAAAACACTCTCTGTTTATTTAGTTCCAACTTGTTAGCTTGTGGCTGTGCACCAATCAGTTCTTTATAAGAGACTTGAATTCCCTTGACAAATAAAGTTCGATCAAATGCCAAAACTGTACAAAATATGTAAGCTATACACCATGATGATTATCTTGAGCTTAAATGTGCTATATTACTTCAGCACAGACTATAATCTAAGTAAGTAAACTTGGTCTTTTGATCAACTTCGGAAATGATCACTGAAATTTGTTATCGAGTGACTTTCCAAAGGCCACAGAGCAGTTATACGTTTCATTTATCAAGCTCTGATAAAAGACTGGTCTGTGATAAGGGCTCTGATATGGCGTCCCGAAACACGACAGAAAGTGGTCCAGCCAGCACTGACCCACAGGGAAGGTGAACAGCTTGGCAGGGTCACATTCGCGGTAAAAAAAAAAAAGAACAGACAAAAGCTGCCATACAAAGCAGCCACCTTTAAAAGGACGCAGCTTCCAGCATTCCCGACTGTTCCAGAAGGTTCTGGGCCACTGCTTTTGCTATGACATAGCTGAGCCCCAAGCTCTAATGAAACACCCATAACCAAGCAAACAAAGTGTCACACATCCCCCCCCCCCCCCACCGATGTACGGAGTGAGTGAAAAGGTACAAATGAGCAAAACACTTTCTGAAAGAAAATGGAAACTGGCTGCTGACAGAGGGCTCTGCTAACAATGCATACCTTCAGCGCAGTGGCGCTGCCGTGAGCCTGGATAATAGGCCCAGGACGAGGGGCGCCCCCCCCCCCCGCTCGACTGACAGCTCACAGGTGTCTTTCAGCACCTTTAGGCCGCTGCCACAGTTAGGCCCCGAAGAAATGAAAGGAACTTGGCAGGGAGGGTGTTCGCTCTGCTAAACAAACAGCGGTGCAAAATGTAAATGTCGGTGTGCACACTGAAGGAAATTCAGCGCCATTGTGTTTGGACACCTGGGAAAGTTGAGAACCCAGAACGGCTTTCTTAATAATCCCACAGTCAACTACTCTTCCACGTACGATACAACACATTGGGAAAATATGTGCAGGTTTTCTTTAGAGTGAAATCAGAAAGTGATTAATTGTGTCTGGGACAATGTTCAATCTATCTTTTATCTATGCAACCACCAAAATCCTACATTCCAACAATTTCCTTCGGGATTAATAAAGTCTCTCCCTCCATCTCATTCTGCCTTCCTCCCTCTTTCTCTCCCTCTCTCTCTCACAATCTGTCTCTGTTTCTATCCATCTGTCTATCCATCCATCCAAGAAGCCAAAGTTGCTTCCAATGCAGGCCTCCTGCCTCTGAAGAGGCCTACATTTTCCCCATCGCATGCGGACGCACTGCGTTGGCAGGCTCCAGGCCTGCTTTCTGAGCGACCCTGCTTCCCATTAGGAAGGTATTTCCACCCGTTAGCCATCGAGCGGCACTGCGATGAGGCGGCCCCGTTTCACGCCTCTCCGCTTTATTGTTGATGAATTGCTCCACCGGATGGCTTGTTATCTTTGAAGATCCTTGAGGACAAGAATGATAAATTACCAGAACCTCACCCTGCATAATCCACACCCCCACCGACCAAGTCAACATCTCAATACCTTGTACCTTCTCAAGGCCCTGTCGACCTTTCATCTCCATCCAGACAAGCTCAGGAGGTTTGGCGAGTGCAGAGAATGGGCTTGGGGATGGCTGACTTGCCGATCTGCTATGCCCGTTACCCCGGCTCGATAAAACACTTAAAAGCAAATGCTTGATCACTCAAAAAGGCCTGAACAGCACAGCTGGTATAGAAGAGTGCACAGGCTGAAGCTGAAGGGTGATGTATGTCCCAAAGGGTTCCTGGCCCCTTGACCTGAATATCTGGTGGACACGCCTATGGCAGCAATTATCGCAGTTTCTACATAGGTCTGCAGCCACTTTGTACAACAGCTTGATGCAATTTCTGCTCATTCTTCCTGGAAGATTAACTGCCTCAAAATTTTCAACCACACATGGTCACAGAGAATAGTGCTATTTGTCCTGACCATAAACTACCACACCACTGTAGAAAGTTTATAAAGTAAATATCTCAAGATCTGTCTACAGTTCATGCCAACAGCAGTGGGGGGCTAAAACATAAAGAAATACATTTAATTAATAATTAGTTACTTTTAAAAGACACCTTTTATACAAGTGTATCCTGACTGTAGTAATATTTAATATTTTTCAAACATTCACGTTTTAAATTTTGCACGTTGTTTTCTAGTGTCTAGTCTTTATTTATTAAGTCTTCTTTGATTAATTTCACCATGCATAAATTTACAAAAGGTTGACTGATTATATTCAGAATTAAGTTCGTTTCAATTTTTTTCTACCAGGCCTTAACAAAACTACACAGACAGCAACAGCATTTTGAAATTAGGAGGATAGTTTACATGGCGGTGGCTTTGACAGCCGTTCTAAACAATTTTCCGTAAAAAGGTCATCCGACCACCACGCCTACAGAAATGTGTCTCCGTAATAACCGCCGTGGCTCTGCTGTCCTCCAGTCATGATGTGATAGCATAGCTATTGCCGTTGAATGCTAAAGGGACAAAGAGATGACGCTTCAGCACCCTCCAGATATACAGGTGCGATCCTGACGTCTCACCATTCGTGATTAACGGCACGGAAAGCCTTTTGACAGCTTTCCACCATCGCAACGGTTTGCGCAATTTCACATCAATAATTTTAGCCTGGCAGGAGTCACGCCAGAAAGCTTCCTTACTTAGTCACATAATGAAAGCATTATAATGAAATGCTTAACCACTAAATGCCTTAACAACATGATATTGTAGGGAAATAGCAACGCATCGAACCTAATGCCGTACGCATTATTTGCACAGCTAGTAACACAACACAATAAATAATGCCGATCGTTTGCAGAGGCGGTGTAGCGAAATGTATGGTTGCAGGTTAGTATATACTTCTCCGCTCAGTATGTGAGGACTTTGCGTGATCCCTTCGCGTAGCACAGCTTTCCTCTTGCGGGACGAAGCCATGCATTTAGCTGAATTGGCCTTTATAGGCTGACCTCGTGCCAGGGTGTGCGTGGTGCGTGCCGCGTGCCCTGCTATGGACTGCCATCCCGCATAGGGAGTCCCCTTGTCTTGTAACCTGTGCTAGGCTCCCGGCGACGCTATAAATTATTATCATCCAAAATATACGAGGAATACTTTATTCATTTACTGTTTTATTACACTCTAACTAACATCCTAATTCATTAACCCAATAGGCCTATAACCAAATACAATTAGATCATTAAGGAATGTGTATCACATCGGGGAGTCATTAAAAATGAATCGCGTACTATGTAATTAACCCATTTTAATGATGGCAGTTTCCACGTCACAAAATGCTCTGTTGTTGAGATTAATGGGCTGCAGTTTAAGACACAGAGAGTTCAAAAACTCTGAAGTGCGTGCATATTAAAGTATTGTATCGCATCTTTATTGTATTTGCTATTATATTCAATTCTGCTGTTTTAGCGTCGTACAGTAATATTACGTTGACTAGTGGCCCTTTAAGAACCGTTGAGAGTGAAAGGAGGCGGTGAGGTTTCACACCAGGAGTGGGAAACGTGGGCGGCGCCAGCGCGGCATGACTGACAGCTTCTCAATGGCAATCGAACCACACGGCGCAAGAAGAATGTGCATCGACCAATGACATTGGGAGGACGCGCGTCACTCAAAGTGGAGAGCCAATTGCAATCCTCGGTGGGCGATGCTTAACTCCGCAATGTTTCCAGCGTGGGGATCCGGAGCAATTGCTCTGGGGAAAAAAACTAAAGGGGAAAAGAAGGAAAAGTGCCGTGGTGAATCCTGTCCGAGCTGCGGCAGATTTAGCTATAATAACCGGATCGCTGAGATATGCTAGTCACAGCATGCATCTGATAAGTAGCCCTTAAGATCTTTCAGATGCGTTTGCGATAAAGTTGGGTTTATATCGTTTAGTAGGCGTTTCATTTTGCCGTTTTGCAGCATTACAGCGCAAGAAAAATCAGCGTCTTTACCCTGAAGATCTAGGCTCCGCGGAAACTTGAAATTAAAAGTACATTTAAAAAGTGGAGGAGTGAATATTTCAAAGCCCTTTGCATCTTGGTGACAGCGTTCAGGTCGCCTGCATGGACAATTGTAGAGCACGTCCGTACTTATGCTTGGGGCGAGGGCTATTTAGCTAGTTATTTCGTAGCATGTCGTTAGAAAGAAATGTTAAAAAGTTACACTCGATAACGTTTTAATGGGAATATCTTAAAATCCGTTTGCGGGGGATAAATCCTCCCCAAGACGGGGAGCCCAGGCTCGCAGACAGATCTCCTTTTCAGCCTTTTAAGGGCAACTGCCTGCAACTTGCACTGAGACCTGGCGTCCGGACAGCTTCTTGTGTTGCTTCGTTAATCGTGATTCACCTTTTGATTCAGTCCGGCGGGGTGGGGGTCGCAAACTCTGCCAGGGGGAAGTTTAAAAAGTAACTTTTACCGGCATGGGAGCCGCCTGCAACGCTTGATCGCAACCGGCTGCTTCGCCATGCAGATGTCCCGCGTCCGGGTTGAAGTGCACCGACCATAAGTGGTACTGTGGTTAGCCGGACACCCCCGCTACCCATCCATCCGTGGATACAAGGAGCAATCAGTGGCCGCGCTAATAAAACTGGATACAAAATGGCGGCGTGGCCGGGACACATGGGATCGGCGTCTTGGTGTGTCTTGTACCTGCTTTCGTCCCTGGGACTGCTGGCCGGGTCCGGCTCCGCTTTGCTCTGTCCCCTGAACTGCACGTGCGAAGGGGACTCTGTGGACTGCAGCGGGCTGGGGCTGACGGACACGCCGCAGGAGCTACCGGTCCGGACGCGCTCCCTGTGAGTATGGACCGTGTGCGGGGCAAGGGGTGTGGGTGTGATGATGTAATTTCTTCATGTTTTATGGGTTTTTAATGGATGAGTCCACCTCGCCTTGGTCCCAGGTTCATTTTTAATTTTGCCCTCAAATCGAGGCATAATATACCTTTACAGATGTTTCATCATAAACCGTGGTAGAGTTTAATTGACTTAATCAATTTGTCTAACAGTACATCGTCTATCCGCCAAGGTTTCCGTCCGACATTAGAAGGAGGCGCATAATTGAATGTTGTTGGCAAATTAAATGTTTAATGCCGGCTTCTGTGGATGATGGATTAATAATTTAAGGATATGAATTTCTTTGGTAAATCATTATGGTACCATAAATAGTTGTTTTAATAAATCAATTCCGCCGTAGATGCACACTGTACACTTGTGGCTTTTGTAACTTTTTGTTTTACCCAGAAACTGTGCCGATTTTGTTAGATTCAATGCGTCAGAAATACAATTACAAAACACATTACTGTTTCTAAGATGTGAGTTTGTAAATGTATTAGTCTGTTGGACTAGTTTACGGATTATCTGATGCCTTGTCATCCGCCCTGCTGAAGGTAAACCCGTTTGAAGGGGAGGGGAGGGGGCACCAGGAAATTTCCCAATGTCAGTGTACCTGCGTTTAAAATATTATCAAACTACAGCCTGCTTTGAATTGATATCGCTTTCCTCCATGGAAGTTGACAATGCAAGTCTCTTTTTAACATAAACTGATTTTTAAATAAAATGTGAATGCTTATGTTAAATGCTTATGCCTGGCCTGACAAACCCAGACATGACATGATTTTCCTGGAATAAGTTTCTCTTTCATTCTTCTGTCCCTTTAAAACTAAGACATTGGAATGTTTCGATGTTTAATGTTACTCCTTAGGGGCAGACGTCCATGCAAAATGCCCCTTAAGTCAGGAATACGGCCTCTGTCCGGGTAGTTATAAGGCAGTAATGAGTAACCAGGTCCATGTACCGACCCCCGGTGGGAGCTACACGGGAGTCGCCTCGGCATCTTTTGCACTTCGTCCTCGGCAATATAAATTTGTCACTTTGCTGCTTAGAGGCCTAAATTGAATTGAATAGGCCTAAAACTTACAGTAATCTGTTGGCAATAAAACTTATGACCTTTTTTTTGTCTTTTTTACGGCCAAGTCTATATCTGCAGTACTTTTAATGCTCGTTTTTTTCTGGGCGAATTGCATACGGTAATATTAAGTAATGTGTTTTGCTAATTGGCGTCGCTCCGTGTGACCCGCAGACGGGCCCCCTTTCCTGCCTGAATGGTCCCGGGATTTAACGGGGAAAGGATCGTGTCCCTCGGCCGGGGAGGGAGCCGGGGCAGCCGGGCTGTTTTTCTGCCCCATTCGGCACTTCGGATGGAGTATAAAGTTCGCAGGGGATGCAGGCGGACTCTCCCTGCGTATCGCGGACGTTACCCGTCATGTAGGCGGCCTTCCGTCTGCTGCGGCCCCTCGTGAAGCCTTGTGTCACAGGGTGGGGTCTTATAATAAATGATTGCGTTTTTCCGCATCGCCCGCCTGGCTTAGGAGGAATGGACTCTGCTGGTTCGGATTGATTCGGCGAACCGAGCGCCGGACCGGCTGCTTATTTTAGGGTCGCCGGAGCAGCAGCCTTGGCCCCCCGGTCTCCCTTTACTGCCGGCGGCCTTTGACATTTTGCCAGGCGAATTACTGAAGGGCATAAAGTGTCCCTGTTATGTTTAGCACTGGTGGCTTCAGCACTGAGTCAAACCGTGTGACTGAGGGGATATTTATGCTCCGTGTCAATGAAAACACGCTGACATTTTCCCTCGCATCCTGGCAATGCGACTATAGGACCGAATGGTATTTATTAAGCACCGATAATGTAAACCAGTTATTGGGGTTTGCGGTCCTACCCTTAATCATCGTGGGTGAATGTCGAGAGGAACCGTAACTGTTGGTTTCGTTGTAAATTTGCCCGAGTATTGGGTTTAGGGTTGATATGCCCCCGCGGGGGGGCGGCGGGTCACGCTGGGAGCGCATCTGCTCCGAATCAATCAGCGGAGGAAAAGCGCTTTAAGAGCAAACCGTCGGGGCGAAGAAGCTCAGACGCCCTGTACTTGTCACAATACTGTCAAAATACTTTCCACGCTTTCTCCCTCCACCCTGGTTATTAACGGCTCCCCTGTGACAATATAGCTTCTGGGGGATTGTAGGAAATGAGGCGGTGTTGGCATATTTCACGCAATCAGTGTGTTTAGACCCTGGAATGGGAAATGCCAGTGTAAAGGATTGGAGGAAAATTATGGCCCTAACTTACTTTGCCAGTTTTTAAATCCGCTGTACATGCATTAAAGAGTTTTCTTTAATTTTATTTTTAATAAACCAACATGTCCTGAAGTGTTTGTGCACTTTAAATGTGGCGAACAGAGCAGAACTGTAATACACACTGATTGATAATCCAGTTATTACTGGATTTGTTTTGTTTTATAGTCTATATGGCATTTTGTTCACACGCAGGGTCATAAATCTGCAGGGTAGTGAGTCATCCATGTACCGTGTTTTCACTTACACTGTCTTGGTGCAAAAAACACTCCCCACGTACTGTAAAGGACAGGAAGCCATTATAGTACCGGCAGCTGTTCGTTTTTTATTTATTAAAACCAAAATGCACCACTTTGGTTGACCTCATCTTATGGAGAGGCACTTCAGTATTTTTAACAAGTAGGTTAACAGTCCCCATGAATTTGTAATCATGCTGCTTGGGGTGTCTCCTGATAGTACTTTAATAGTAACATGTCTTTCTGGAACACAGTAGGTGAGATGTGCCCCCTGCCGCCTTTTAGATAATGTGATATACTGCAGGAGCTTATTCATACGGCTGTTTGTGTGCTTTTTGTCAGATATAAGCCACACGCAGGCAGGTTTGCCATGACGTCGTCTTCAGACTGTAGGGGACTTCGTGCCAGGCGGTGACTTAGGATAAGGAAGCGGGCCGAATCCCATCCGGATGGGACACTTACTGAACGTTTTCCTGAATGAGCTGACTCTGATTTTTATGTCAGTTCTCTTCCTGTTCGGACTGGGCCCGAGTGCTTTGGGTCTCTGTCTGCATGGGGTGGCGTTGCCCTTGAGGCCCCGTCTAACTGTGGGCAGGCTGTGGGGCCACAGTGATCTGCAGTCACTGAAGAGCAGGGGATGAGCCGCCTGGAAAGACTGATTAAGGTAACCCTGTACGAAGCTGACTGAAACCGCCTGTTTCGGGAGGAAGTGACTCAAAGCAGGGTTTCTGGTCAGTCCTAGTAGACCAAGCAGAGCTGCTTCTGCTGTCATGCATGTAGGTACAAAGGTGACAGACAGGCTTTTCAGTAATTTTGTCCTACTGATGTCAGTGATGGTTTGTGTTTTCCGCTCTTACCGGTTACTATTAATCATTGCTGATCGAGGCTCGATGAAGGCGGGTTTCGGTTACATATCAGGACGTCCTCAAGCAAAGTTTTAAGACCTAAGTCTTGAATATAACTGATTGATTCAAAAAATGGTGGATGACAAATTATGGTATAGGACTGCAGAACGGATGAGTATTAGAACATGTTACAGGTCCTGGACGCTGCAGGCGGCCCAGACAATACTGATTTACAGGCTGATGCATAGCTGACAGCTTGGGAGCCAGAAATCGACATTCCTGAGAAATCTGGTAATTGAAAACAAAAGTGTGTGTGTGTGTCTCTCACTCTCTCGAGCTCAAAGCCCCTGCCTTTGTTTCATCGGGTGTCTCTGAGGTAGTCCAAATAGATGAATCATCCGTAATTTCTGTACATCTGGTAAGAGTTGAAATCTGGAAAAGCCATTTAAAGCTCGTGGGGGTGGGAGCACGGGGTGCCCTGAGCGGGGAGGCCCAGTCATATCTGGCTGGCAAACACACGGCCAGCAGTGGGACAGTTGAGGACCAATCGGGAGTGGGCGCAGTTGGGGACCGATCGGGAGCGGGCGCAGTTGGGGACCGATCGGGAGCGAGCGCAGGCGCAGTTGGGGACCGATCGGGAGCGAGCGCAGGCGCAGTTGGGGACCGATCAGGAGCGGGCGCAGGCGCAGTTGGGGACCGAGCGGGCGCAGGCGCAGTTGGGGACCGATCGGGAGCGGGCGCAGGCGCAGTTGGGGACCGATCGGGAGCGGGCGCAGGCGCAGTTGGGGACCGANGCGCAGTTGGGGACCGATCGGGAGCGGGCGCAGGCGCAGTTGGGGACCGATCGGGAGCGGGCGCAGGCGCAGTTGGGGACCGATCGGGAGCGGGCCCAGTTGGGGACCGATCGGGAGCGGGCGCAGTGGCAGTGCCACTAACTGCTGCTCTCTGCTGTCGCATCGTTAGAAGATGCGGCTCTCGGTGGTCAAACCCATACTTTGCGTTTCAGCTAATTAGGCTCATGGCTTCCTTTGATACACTTAATTATTATTTAGTGTGTTTATCTGCAGTTGAAAAGTGTATTTAGTGGAAGTCAGAACTAGTTAACTGCCTTTTGAAGAATGTTAAGCTACATTCATCACAAAGAATATTTTGTTCTTGGGGTGTTTTAAATGAGCCTTTTTTGGTCAAGCCAGTTTGTGGTTTTGTCACTGATTAAACAAAGTCTTTTATTTTGTTAACTGCGTGAGAGGATCTAGCAGGCCATCTGGACGGTAGCGGAGCGTCTGCTGCTTTTTGGTGTTCCCCTCCTTGCGGGGGGGGGGGGGGGCTCCCAGGCCAGTATAGTGGCCCCTGTGTTTTGCACCTTGCCCCAGGCGAGCCCAGCCCCTTTGCCCCCCACCCCCCATTTACTCAGACCGCACATTTCTGTAATGAACCGGCTTTGGGGGTCAAAGGCACACGTGCTCTCAACATGTTACTCTGCTGTTTCTGGATTTAGTCAAATATATCTTTTAATTATGTATGTATGCATGCATAATGTAAATGCATGATTTCATATGCATGTTCAACTTCCCGCCTGAATGAGCCGC